AGATGATTACTTAGAAAAACTAGCAAAATCATTACCAAAGTACATAAAAGAGATTAAAATATGGATGGTTTTGCAACAGGTTATGAGGATGAAGTAAATTTAGATGATTTATGTACATTTTTTAGTAATATTAATTCTAAAAGCTTGTCTGTGCTTTTGGAGATTGTTATTCCATATAATGCGCAAGTGGTTTCTAAGAGCATTCAATTTGATGAATTTGGAAATCCAGAAAAAATTGAAACCAAAAATCTTAAAAATTTAATTAGTTATAATACTTTAGTCGATATATTATTTTAGGATTGGAGTTTTACAAAAAAATCTCGATAGTTTAATATTACTGTATTTTGTTAGATGTTAAATCAACATGCGAGTTATTATTTATGTAGACAATCAAAACATATTTGGGCATAATCAAAACAACAGAAATTTCCATCTTGGTCAAGAGTTTGAATTTTTTCTATTGGTCAGAATCGAAATAATCAAAACAATGTAAATTACCATATTGGTCAAAAATAAAATAAAATTTCTATTGGTCAATTAAATTTAATATCTTGGTCTTCATAACATGAAGCTTTTAAAAGATTTAATATCCTGGTCTTCATAACATGAAACTTTTAAACAGGCCCGGCCGGATGGCTTTTTTTACAAGTCTTTAAATTTTGACCCGGTCAAGTTGTGAAAACTAATTCATTTTGTATGGCCTAATAGCCACGTGTTACTATTATTAATACAGTACTCTAGTGAATCAAAAACAAACTATCTTGACCTGGGTTAAACTTATAGTTGCTGGTAAACTCTTGGTGAACTCTTGGTGAATGTTTTTTTTTATTTTTTTTTGCATTAAGGAAGCACTTATATTACATATTTAGTACAGAGCTTAGAACTAATTTATTCTTAAAATTGATTAAAATCTTATTAAAAGCGAATTTGAGTTGACATTTATTATTACTACTGATTCAAACCTTTCTAAATGTAACATGACGCAGTGATGGTAAATGACCCGAAATGATTCAAATGATCCACTGATTACATCTTGATCAAATCTATTGTTAAAATATATACCTATACGTAATCGAAATTCGATCGTGACTTCGCGGACCCATGGGGCCACAAAATCATGATCAATATAATAAGTACAAAGACACTCATTCAAGTAACAAGATACTTATCGGAGTCCTAGAAATAAGCTGCAAGACCTAAAGTCTCATTATTATATAATAACGATAATATATGACTAGAATTCCACATAATTTAAGAAACTATCAAAATTATAAGGTGACATCATCATTGTTAAATGTTTAATCAAAGAAACTCATTCTATAAAATGTGATCATAGTCAAATTGTAATAAAATATAAATAATCGCAAAGATCGTTCAATCATTGTGGATCTGGGTGAAACAGATATAGTGATTATAAAAGGCGAAACTTATAGAAAATTGATAGAAAAGATGATTTTAAAGTATTTTTGATTTTAATAAATATTTTTGGTTTTTATAAATACTTTAGCTATTTATAAAATAAAACATAGGGAACTGTGAGTAGTGAAGACACATCAAGTGTTGATAGCGAAGAAATTGAGAATGTGTCTGGAGTTCAACAAAG